TACATTTTCGATGAGTTTTTCAAGACCGAAATTAACTGTTACCGTGAATTTTAACTGTAAAAAAGCCGTTTAAATAAGGGATTGTAATAAAATTCATGGAATATATTTTAATGCATGTATTGCCATAAGCTATAGCTACACAAGCTACATATTTTTGGTGAGTCATCTTTTTTAAATGGGCTGCACTAAGTAGGTACCTTAAAATTAGGTTGAAGCACTTTCAGAAGGCCTAAAAATCCTTATAAGGCAATAATTGCAAACAAAAAACGCTAAAGCCTGCACTATTTTGTTGTATTTTGAACCTCCCTCCAAAATAGATATATCTATTAGATTCAATAAAGAAAAAGTACTAGAAATAATTTATTTTCCCTATTGGCCGAAACTTGTAAAAATGCGTTTTCTAAAGTAATTTGTGGAGGTATGTTACTATCCGTACTAGCATCAAAAACACTTTTTTATTCCAACATGTTTTCTAATTTAGAACCGCTAGATGTTGATGGCTATGAGATCTCCAACTCAAGTTCTTCAATAAACTTCACAAAATATCCTATATCTTGATCAATATATGTTCTGTAACTTTGGGCAGTGTTTACACTTAATAATTCGATTCGATACGAGTACTTTATTTCGATACCAAGTATTTGTTTCGAAAGCACGATTCAATTACCAAAGTACTCAGTATCGAAATCAAAAGAATGGAATACCTACTTGTATTGATTTGTATCAAATAATCCCTATTTAAGAGGAGGCACTACACGTAAGGGTCATAACCACAGAACATACCCCCTTATTTTGGGGGGATATTTTGTGATCATAACGCATATTGATCTAATTCATAAAACAAGGCTTATATAGAAACGACTATTACTCTTGTAGAAAGGGTGTCGCTAAAGTGGCGCGCCCTGGTGGCTGAGAATTAAAGAATTCAAACAAACCTGCATTATAAACCCACTACACTTGCTTATTTTTAATTGTGCCGCAAGGGGCAGCAGATAATAGGGATAAATGACACAACTACACAAAAACACATATAAATATATATATTACTTGTTGTTTATTGTTTATATAAATACTTTTTACAGATTAAAAAAATTTTTGAAGCATTTTTAGGAACAACTTTAAAACATACGCCTTTTGTGATAGGAAGCCGTGCAT